GATATATATATTATATTGACGAAATGAATTTGTTCATGATGTTCATCAGAGCAAAATTGCCATCGGATTGAAAAAAACGTTTTAAAAGCCAACGGGTTTTCTCCAAAGTATATAAAACAAAAACCACAACAAGTGTTGTTAAAGATTTACCTGTGAAATGACAAGTTCTTGACATCACTTGATTTCACTCGTCTGCTTGTACAGTTGTACGCCGAACATGTATCAGGCATATTTTTCTGGGCTGAGAAAAATAACTAAGTTTTCAGTTTTGTCTCCTTCACAACAAGAAAAAGCAAGGTAATGAAAACAGGTACTCTTTAAAAGCTTCGAACAATATTTTTCGCCAAGGAAAACAGAAGGAAAAAGCAATGCAAAATCAGCGAAGTTTCCCGCGCTTTTTTCCCGCGCTTTAATTTTTGCTGCACGTACAGCTTTTTCGGATCCTCTATAAAACTGAATCGAAGGTCATGGCCAGGCAGGTGAAATGGGAGCTGTGATCAGCATGTTTTTTGGGCTTTGGTATTAGCAGAACGTAACATTGAATTTGGAGGCTGGGAAAATTGGACTGGGAAACCTTATAACAATACTATAAAAACTTAGTTCTAAACAAACCATAAGAAAGAAAAAAGAGAAAAATTTACATTGATTACTATACACTCCGGGCTGAATAAAGGACCAGAGATAAAGCAAAAAGTCGGTGAGGATATTGTGTGTGGGGGTGTTACATAAACCTAGAACCTCTGGGGGGTACCAAAATCTTAGTGTATGGAGTAACCTTTAATAATAAATAATTGCTGAATACTAAATGTATTTAGACCCTAATTTAAGTCTGCAAAGAATAGTTTTACTATGGTTCAGTCAGACTTAAAGGTGGTCTACAGTCCGATCTGCGCATGTGCACAAATGAGCCCACTTTTTATGATACAAACAGTTTAACTATGTTTTGAGTTCTTGAAAAGCCTGATTGTTGTTTCTTGATCATTTATTATACTCTAGAAGCTTGAAAATATAAATAGTTGTCGAATAAAGCTCAATATTTTGGACACAAAAATGTAAACAAAGGCTTTGTTTACATCTGTACTGTAGATCACCTTTAATATCAGATGATATTTAATAAAGTGAAGTTGAAAATGAAACACAACAGACTCAATCGAACTGACCAGTGTGGTATCCAATTAACTGTAATTCAACTTGTAAAATACTTCTTTTGTCTTCTACACAAATTACATCAAGTCTGGTTACAAGTTGTAATAAGGCTGTTGTCAAGGTGTGTTCGCCCTGCTTGTTCACAGCAGGCTGCTCCATTTCCTGTTCGGAGTACTTCAGATTTTCGGAACACTAATGGAACAGAAGAGAGTCGCACGACTGTTCTGACTGCCCCGATTTTTGAGTAGGGGCAGCCACAACAGACAGGTGACACTGCCTATTTTCTATGTGATAGAAAATGGAGGCGGCATATTTTGTGTATCCAATGCACACACTGCATAGAAAGACATAGAGCATTATTTTGAACAGTTAACAGCTATATTTCGACATATACGTATTATATGCTATTTGTACACCAGGGTTGGGCAAAATCAGCGAGTAAGAATGTCGCAAAAGCATACTTAGATATACATATAACAGCAAATCATTATAGCACTGTTCCAGAACACTATGTGCACTCCATTTTATATCGCTCCAGAACAGTGTTCCAAATGTTCTAGAACAGTAATGGAGCAGCCTGCACCTGTCACAGCAAGTCCAGAACTTTGACAGATCTGCAGTGAATTGTTTCAACAGGACTGATACATACAGTCGCAGAAACAACTTGTTACAAAATTGTGTTAACAACTTGCCAACCTTTTTTAAACAACCTGCGTCAGTCTTGTTGGAACAACTAGGCTGAACTAGCATCAAGTCTGTCAGAGTTATCAACCTTCTTTTAAAGTCTTTAAACAAAGCTGAGTGTTGAGTGTATGCACCTTGTGACAGATCTGTGAAATTTTTGGCTGTTTAAGCAATGTTCTTTACATTTCCTAAAATGTTTAAAGTAAACTATTGGTTTACTTAACAAATGTAGTGTATTCTAACTCCTCAACTGGCCCAAGTGCCTTTTATCAGCGTCTTCGGCGAGCAATATATTTCTATAATTCATCCCAAACCGTCCAATCTGTAGCCAAAGACTTAAACGTATACGTATTTGACCTCAAAAATCAGAAATTTTCTTTATAAATTCCTCTAAACCCAAGTAAATGACTCGATTTGACCAGTGCCAAAGTGACGATATTTTCATAAAAACTTCGGCGAACGATATTTTTACATTAATTCATCCCAGACTGTCCAATTTACAACCAAAAGCTCGGCGATAAAAAGTTGTTGCCAAAATATGTCGCTCGAAGGAGATCGGAAACATTGTGTCGACGCAAAGTGCAAAAAACATGGTTTTTCCTATACCGTTTCTAATGTTTTTGCCCTGAATGGCCGCCATCTTGGATTTGCTCCTACAGGTCACGCTTTTGCGAAAATAATCGTATGCAGTCAGCTATCTAGGTCTATTGTCTATTATATCAGCCGTTCCGCACGTTGTAACCAATAATTTATTGGCGTTGTAATGCCATTGTATGCAATAAAGTATTGGTTACAATGGATTTACAATTAATCCAAACGCTAATCCTAACTCAAACCCTAACCCTAATCCTAAC